ATTTGCTACGCACGTGCGTCAGCGAACAAATTTCGACCAAACGAACGAAATAACATTTAAAAAAACCCAAGAGTCACTCGTAACTCAGTTAATCACAATTTCAAACTGCTTAATATCCTTTCAACAGCTCTTCACACTCTTCCATGGGGATTTGAACAAAATTCCCTGAATTTAAAATAGTTCATAATTTAAAAAGCCAAGTTTTTCCACAACGAACGAGGCGAAGAATACAATCAAATATTCTTTTCCTTCTCTTTCGTATCTTCGCACTGTAAATATCCTAATTTCTCGCCATCGATGGGTTAGAAAGCGGTAGTTAGAGGCAGAAGAAACGTAAAGTGTTTGTAATAACGTTGATTAATTAGCCGTACAAAGGAAAGCAACTTTAAATATCAACTAGGATACGCGAAACAAAGAGAATACTAATTTCCATTCATATCAAAGCACTCTTGGAGTTAAGAGATCTCGAGGTATTAAATACCATCTGCATAAAATTTACCTCTTGAATAGCAAATTACCACGGGCGAAACTTTTATTCGTCCAAGTAGTTTATAAGTGGTTCACTCTACAGTTCTTTGTTATATGACATTACGTGTGTAGTAATATTTGACGATTTACCGTAACAAAACAAAAAAAAAAAAACAATTTCGATTAATATTTATTACGATCAATTATTAACATTTAATATCGCCGATATTTGCGCGTATGGCTTCTTTTTCAAATAATACAATATACACCGTAATTCAATATCGAATTTTATCTGCAAAGGTTGTGCAAATTTTTTTGCAACGATTGTTTCTACAGTTAGTTACAATCATTATTGAATTTCTTCCTTCGAACGTGTATCGTATGACAAAGGATCGAAGTTGCGTTAAACGTTCGTTTGCTGTTTCTACACTTTTATCATTTTTAAGATTTTCTTTGCCACAGGTCACAGGTCAGCCGTGAAAGGATTTTGAAATAGAAAAAGGAAAAGGACGTAAGGTGACGTTATATTGCCGTTATGTGTGTACTTGTCTTTGACATCGTAGCAGTGATAGTAGCAGTGGTGCGATAATGTTTTATAGAGTTCGGTGAAGTTATTTTTTTCAATCTTTCCCGTACTTTACACGCAATGTGCTTTCGTTGAAGCTTCTTTGGTAACAAAATGGCATATAAAGCTGCGCGAAATAAGAGAAGGTGAGCGCGCGCTTTGAGGGAAATTTGCACCCCTATTTTAGCTTCGTTGTGAAGGGGAACGACTGTGAAATATGTAATTTTGCCTTTATAAATGGGTACACTTTACTTTATCAGCGATATTCTGAAAAATTGTAAAAATATCGATGGAAAGTGTTGTTTGGTTCGACAAATGTTACTTCAACTTTTCACAA